TTGTTGTTGTTGTTGTTGTTATTGTTTTAGTTTTTTTTAATATCAGGGTCTTGCTGTGTAGTTCAGGCTGGCCTTGAACTCGTGGCAGTTTTTGTGCCTCAGCCTCCCAAGTGCTGCTGGGTTGAATGATTTTTTTGGGGGGGGGGGGCGTGCAGGATGCTTTTAGGGCAGGTATGGTTTGGCTTGAGGATGAGGGGATCGAACCACAGCATCCTGACCCTGACTGTTTTGTTTCAGCAGGCACTTAAACACCTGAATTAATGGGCAGGCCCCTTTGCTGCTGGGTTGAAGTAATTTTTTTATGGGTGGTGGTGGTGGTTTAGGGCTCCAGACAGGGTCTTACCTTGTAATTCAGGTTGACCTTGAACTCACAGTTGTCTTCCTGTCTTAGCCTTCCTAGTGCTAGGATTATAGGCATGGACCATCACTACCCTGCCTGAAGTAAAATTATTTTTGAAACAAGATCTCCCTATGTAATTCACACGGACCTTGAAGTCACTTTATAGCCCAGGCTGGCCTTGAACTCATGGCAGTCTTCCTGTTTCAGGTTCTTCAGTGCTGGGATTATGGGGCTATGCCACCATGCCCAGCTACTGAAGTAAATTTCTTATGGAAAACATCATTACTATGATTAATTTACTTAGCTAGTTGTTTTTCTCTTGTTTGCTAATGGATTCTTGGTACTTTTTTTTTTATTCTTTTTTGGTTTATTTTTATTTATATTGAGTATACATATTATATAGCTTTCTTAGATGCTTCTCTAGATGTTATAGTATATATACATAACTTTTCTCAGTCTACTGATCTCAGTGTTTTAATAATTTGACTGAAGTACAGAAATGTTGTTTCTAATTATTTAGGTCCCTTTACCCTTTTTGATTATTTTTTCATTTTACTTTTATTTTTAGTACCTTTGTAATACATGTTTGTGTTCTTTGTGTGGTACATGTGCGTAATACAGTTAAATTCCTTTTTTCGTCCCATTTCCCTTTCCTCCATCTGTAAATCCCCCTCCTCCTTTGAGAAAGATCTGTGTCTTTATTTCCATTATTATTATTATTATTATTATTATTATTATTATTATTTTAAACTCAGAATCAAACTCAGGACCTCTTGTTGCCAGGCAGGCACTGCACCACTGAGCTATTTCTCTTTCTCTCTCTCTCTCTCTCTCTCTCTCTCTCTCTCTCTCTCTCTAGCTTTTATTTTGCTCTTTACTTTATACTTTGGGTTTCTCATATTGGAGAAATCATGAGATACTTAAGCTTCTGTGTCTGATTTATTTCACTTAACATTATGATCTCAAGGTATATTCATTTTCCTACGAATTACTCAAAAATTCATCTTTCTTTTTGTCAGAACAATACTCTAATGTGTAAATACCATGTCTTCTTTCATCTGTTCATCTGTTAATGGACATAGGCTGCTTTCAAGATTTAGCTGTTATGAATTATGCTGCTATAAAATGGGCATATATGTATTACTGTGATATAATGTCTTTAACACTTTTGGGAAGCTGTCTTGTGAGAGAATAGCTGGTTCAGATGGAATTTCAAGTTTCAGTTTTTTAGGACTCTCCACACTAATTTCCATAGTGATTGTAGTAGTTTACATTCCCACCAGCAATGCAGAAAGATTCTTCTTTGCCCCACAGCCTCTACAGTATTATTTACTATTTTATTTCTTGATGATGGTCATTCTTTCTGGGGTAAGATGAATCTCATTATTGTTTTATTTTGCATTTCTCTAATAGCCATCAATTTGAGTGTGTGTGTGTGTGTGTGTGTGTGTTCTCTATTTTACTTTTGTGAAGTGTTTATTCATTTTATTTGCCCATATTTTTATTCTTTTGAGGGAGGGCTTAATTTTAGTTCTTTATATAGTCTAGATATGAGGGATGGCTGGCAAAAATTGTTTTCCCATTCTGTAAGTTGTCTTTTTTGCTTGGTTGTTGTTTCTTTTCCTTTTTTTCCCCCCATAATTTTATTGATAAACAAATAGCAATGAGACAGTTGCAAATCAAATCGGTAGGACAGTTTCAGTAATTAACACACTGCATACATTCTTCCTAGTGGTTAATTGCTGTACAAGATGCGGACTTGACATCCTATTCACAAATACCATTAGAACAAATCATTCTATTCATTAAGAGAATGTAACTATATATCTATCCAAACCACTTTGAATACACAGATACAATCGTCTGTATACCCTTTTTTTTGTTAAGCTTAACTTCACTATCTGTCTGCATATCAAACATCTTAGGCATATTGTTGTTTCTTTTCCTATGCAGCAGCTTTTTAATTTGATATGATCCCATTTGTTGATTCTTGATACTATTTCTATGCAACCAGGGTTCAGTTCAGAAATCCCAAGTTTTGCTTATTTTTTTAAAAAAACTTTATTACATAATGATAAAATCTTTATATACATAGTGATAAAATTCATCATAGGGAATTTATACCTGTACATGGTGTATCTTCTTTTTTCTTTTTTCCCAAGTATGTGTTTAGTTCTTCTGGGTACTATTATGATTGGCTTTTTTCCCCCCTAATGTCTTTCTCAGTAGGTTCATTATTAATGTGCAGGAGTGCTATTTATTTTTGTATATCGATTTTGAATTCTGCTGTATTCCTGAATTTGATTATTAATTCTAAAAGTCTTTGGTAATTTTTGTGTGTTTCCTATGGAAAGGATCATGTCATCTGGAAGTATTGATAATTTGACTTCTTCCTTCCTTGTATACCTTCTATTTCTTTTTCTTTTTGGACAGCTGTGTTGAACAGAAGAGGTAATAATGGACATCCTTGTCTTGTTCCTGATTTTAGAGGGAGAACTTTCGGTTTTTCACATTTTATTGCAATATCCAGTTGGTTTGTTATAAATGGCTTTTATCAGATTAAGATAAGGTCCATCTACACCTAGTTTCTTCAGTGTTTTTATCATGAAAGATGCTAGATTTTGTCAAAGGCTTTTTCTGCATCTGTTGAGATAATCGTGTGATTTTTGTTTTTGTCTCTTTATATGATGTTTTATCCCTATTTATGTTTTTATTGATTTCCATGTGTTTAACCATGCTTGCATCCCTGGGATAAAACCTAATTGATCATCATATATGATCTTTTTGATGAGTCACTGCATTCTGTTTGCCAGTATCTTGTTGAGGATTTTTTCATCTGTATTCTTTCAAAAGATTGGTCTGTGGTTCCCTTTTTTTTAGTTGAATTCTTTGGCTTGGAATCAGGATAATGGTACCTCCAAATGACTTTGGACATACTACTTCCTTTTTTTTTTTTTTTTTTTCCAGAACCGGGGATTGAACTCAGGCTCTTGCGCTTGCCAGGAAAGCGCTTATTCCACTGAGCCATCTCCCTGGCCACTACTTGCCTTTTAATGTCATTAAAAATCTTGAGGAATGTTGGTGTTAGAATTTCCCTAAAGTCTTTAGAGAGTTTAATATTGAACCTGTCTGGACCTGGGCTTTTCTTAGTGATTTTTTTTTCTATTAATGCTCTCATTTATTTCCCTCTTTTTGGATTATTCAGGTTTTCTAAACCTTCTTGGTTCAGTTTTGGTAATTCATAAGCATATAGGAATCTATCTATTTCCTTTGAATTCTCCATTTGGTTGGGACACAGGTTGATAAGGTAGTTATTAATTTTTTAATTTCAGCAGTGTCCCTCATGGTTGCATCTTTTTCATTTCTAATTGCATTGATTTGGGTATTCTCTCTCTCTCTCTCTCTCTCTCTCTCTCTCTCTCTCTCTCTCTCTCT